CACTTGGCCAACATCATCCTCACGAATTCTTCGTAGTTCACCTGTCCATCACCATCTATGTCAGCCTCCCTTATCATCTCTTGCACTTCTTCATCGGTCAGCTTCTCCCCGAGGTTTGTCATCACATGGCGGAGCTGCGCATCAGTTTCAACACACAACTTGGTCAGATACAGACAGAGGATGATACATCACATCGGGTTACCCACCAACTTCAGCATTTCAAATACAATCGTCTGAAGAGTCACTTTACCTCTGCAGCAGAGATGAAACCATTTTGGTCCTTGTCGAAAACCTTGAAAGCCTCCCTGAGTTCCTCCTCAGAATCAGTGTCCTGTGATGCGTATGAAAACTCAAACAGTTAACCAATAGCATAAAGCAAAATCTGTTACCTGAATATATGTCCTGATATGATTTATCAAAGACAGGAAACATACCATGGCAAGTCAAATATAGACGAGGATATCACCATGCCTGTTCCTATGCGGGCTAAGTTGCATTGCAAGAAACCTTCTCCAATTTTCCATTATTATACTACAATAAACCTTAAAACCATACTGCCATGATTTTTTGAAATTTTCAGAATACTCCCCTAACAGTGTCAAGGGCAGGCATTTAAGACTTCAAGTTACAAACGGGAAACCAAGTGGTGAAGCATAAGACAATTTAGGGATTTCATGATTTATCATGTCAAAGGAGGTACCCAGAAAAATGAGCTACATATTTCCTGGGAAAGCCACATGAACCAGGGATCTCAAGTCCACGTTGCACAGCAGGTGTGGGTACGGGTGTGGGTGCAGTTATGGAAGTAGGGCACAAGAACGTGACTTGCTTTCAGTGTAGATACCCAATTGAAATCATAGTTTTGAACCGAATATGGGCTGAAAAGAACCCAGCTCATGTCCACAAGTTTCACAAAGTGAATATGAAGCATAGAGGTATTGGATATGTGTCTAAGAAGAGTATGAGTGTTTTAAATTAAAACATGAATTATGTAATAGAGTGCTGTGTGAATAAATGTATGCATATACTCAAGGAGCGTCCAAAGAGTGGCTGACTTGTGCCAGTGTCCGGTACGTATTGGGAACGGGTGCAGTTTCATGACAGAATACCGAGGTAACATAGCAAGTCGGGAATATTTTCAAAAGGGATAATAGTTGCAAGTATATTATTGTACAAGAGCATTATGCACATGCACCTCTCGGAAAGGATAGAGAATATAGCACTTAAGGATAAAAGCTTTGCAGATGTGATGAAGTCATGCTGATGTCATCTATGAGAAATTGCAAAGTGCATAAGCAAGAGCAGGCACAAACATAATCATGTACAATTGGCAACAAAGTCCTCTATGAACATCAACATAACCACACACAAAAAACAAATGTTGAAGAAACCAACAACTATCCTATTAAGTGAGTGCACAACCATAATCTTGTACAGGCGGTAAATTATCCTGTGCGAACATCAACATACTACATAAATAAAGCAAAATTTCCAAGAACCTTCAACTATATTATGAGAGAGAAATAGAGTGTGTGACAAAAGTCCTTCGTGAGCATCAATATCCTTATGTCAGATGAGACAAAAAGGAGACAGACTAATTTTCATATTTCATACCGTAGAAAGCCTGGGGGAATGAACTCATTGAAGCAATCACAATGAGTAGCTAGACTGAAATGTGAATTTGCATGTTTGTGTCCTTTTGTCTCTGTGTAAGCATGAGAGAGAAAGAGAGGGAGGAGGCTATGTGGTTTGTAGAAACATTGAGAAAACAATGTCTACAAGTCTACAAACCAATGTTAAAATTTGAGGAAATGATGTCTACTACTCTACAAAGAAACCAACAAACAGCTACCGTGATCTACTATTTTAAATTAAGCGCTCATCACAGTTTTTTGCACATGGCTTGAGTTGTACTGATGCATCATGCATGCAAATGAGAAAATTCACTCAAAACGCTTCCACGGCATAAAACAAAATGGATTTGTTAAAACAGGTTTGTTTGAATGCGTTACTAAGATTTAGAGCATAGAAGGATCCACCTCCACTAGGTTTTCCATTGAGATATGCTTTAAATGTGCATGTCATTTCAGACGATTGCTGTGAAATTATGTTGCATGTTTTTACGATTGAAACATCCAGTAAAGACACTTAATTTGCAACAGATTAAAAGGCAGGAGATAATTCCACAACGTTCGATAATTTAGATGCATACCAAAAACCAAAACTGTAACTTCAACATAGATGTATGATCCTGATAAAGAACACCAAGTTCCTGAGACTAATACTGAGAAGTGCAAAACCATGAAACATGCATGCTAATGGCGGGTCATGCAAGAGCTGTAATTTCCACCTAAGATGAGGTTTCATGGTCTATGCATATGCTTTTGACACCAACTTTAGTGAGATCAGTTGCTATGATCTGAAAATAATGACAATAACTAACAGAAGCCTGAAGAGTCAATTTGCAATTCAAGGCTTCAAGCAGATATCAAGAGAATAGAAGGCGATATAAAGTTAAAACAGAAAAGTATACCAGACCTTGCTAATGACAGTGTCTCCAAATTAACCATGTATTTCAAAAGCTGCTGCAGAAAACTTCAGAAAATTCTATTCTATGTTCACAAAATTTCAAGATTTTATATCTTTAATGAACTCAAAATCAAATAGAATAGAAAAAATTTCATAATTTCATAATATAATATCTGCAAAAATTGTGACCTATATCAATATGAACTAGACAATAAATACTTTAGACCTCATATCTAAAAGCATGTTCCTGATTCCTAATTTCTCAAATAGACGGCAGAATTCACTGAGATGATGTTATGCAGAAGTTATCACTTTTTAAAAAATAAGGAATATATGAAGAAAAAGAAGAAGAAAAAACCCTAATGTTTGCTCAAGTGTGCAAAGCAGAGAAATGGTTGACAAGTACTTTTTTCTGGCTCTCTACATTTATATTAGAGTTGTCTGCTAAAACTAGAAATATAGTAAGGAACAACTAAAAGACATGACTCAAATTATATATCAACAACAGAAACTTAGACACTGAAAATGCTCTCACTTTCATTTTTCGAGCCATCAGATTCAAGAACTCTGAAAAATCAATTGTCCCATTTCGATCAGCATCAACCTCATCTATCATATCCCGCAGTTCAGCTTCAGTAGGGTTTTGACCTAAGGATCTCATCACAGTACCCAATTCCTTGGTGGTAATGCATCCTGAAACATGAAAAGCATAGTAACAAGAGAATAAGAGGATGTAAAAATTGCAGGACTTACATATAAAAACAGGTCTACACACTACAATGGAAATGAAGGTGTTTTCAGAATAAACATCAACCAACTAGAGTCACATTTTAACTACCGAATAAGAAGTGGCTTCTATTTTATTCATAAAACTCCAGTATATAAGATAAACTTAAACTGACAAAACCTCCAAAAAAAGAAAATTTCTTCAGAAGTACAATTACCATATAAAAAGCACAGCTAACCAATATTATACAACTCAAAATACCTTAGAAAGTAATCAGCAACTAAAACATATCTTTAAAAATTGTTTATGATTTAAAAAAAGGAAGATAAATCAGGTCAAACTTGAGGTGACTTAGGTTTTCCTCAGTTAAATAAGTGATTAAGTGTCACGTCATATTTTGTAGACATAGATGAAGTCACATACTCAAAATAGTAAGAAACATTTTGTTTTTAACGTCCTACATCAGATGGCAAATAACATCTGAAACTAATAAAGAATTCCAATTTTAAGAAAAAATTTCAACCAAAACATGATAATAAATACTCAGGAAATGTGTTTTATTTTGCCACAGATATGAAAATGCAAGAAAATTGCAACAACATAACCATATTAGCTTAAGCTCAAAAGAATTAGATCTTGGTTTTCTGCATATGTTCTAATCTAGTTAGAAGCAATTAATTCTATATTATAACCAATTCAAGCGAATCATTTCTATAATTATCATGATCAATCAATCAAATTGAATTTCAGTTTAACTTAAAAGAAATCCCATGAAATCAGAATTAAAGTTCTAATCGCATTCTGATATAGAATGGCACCTTGATAAACACTACTGGCTTATGTTATTCTAGAAATGTGGTTTTTTTGGGGGGAATTTTTTGCATCCATCACATGTGCATTTTCCTATGTATTAATGTATCCAAAAAACCTACAATTTATAGCAGAAAACTATGATAAGTAGTGATCTATAAACAATGTACAGCCCTGCAACATATTATGAAGACAGAACTTATAACAGAAGGTTGTGACAAACATAGATAGCAGTGTCACGTCATACTATTCAACAAAAAACATAGGTGAGTCATGACTCAATATTCCAATCAAATCTTTCCAGAACCAAACCCAGAAACATTTTCTCCTCCTACTTGTAACAATAGCTTTGAGTTGACATTTACATAATTATTTTATTGAAAGCTTACATAATTATTTTATTGAAAGCTTTCAGAGCAAATAATGATTGCAGGAAAAGGTCGTCTGTTTGTTAAAAATGCATGTAAATAGCATAGTAAAAGATTATAAAATTTAGATGAAGTAACTTTCTCTGGTTACTAGAAACAAAAGGCACTTGAGGACGAAAGGCAAATGTTTAATAGGAAATAATTCATATTTCATAATAATTCAACCTAAACGTCAAACTAATCTCTACAGGAATTTCTACACAAAGTAACTTTCTCTGGTTACTAGAAATGTGTTTAATAGGCAAATGTTTAATAGGAAATAATTCATATTTCATAATAATTCAACCTAAACGCCATTTGGACCCACAGTCTCTTTCATGAAAAGATATGACCTAGAATACTTCCAATTACTTAAAGAGATCCCTAACATATGGCCCCCCACTTTCTTTACAAACTAACATACCTTGTATAATAAATACAAAAACATTTTAGGAGCCATATTATCCCAATGAAAGAAATATCTCGGACCAAAACAAAACATACTCTACTTTCCTATCACATGTCTATGTACTAATCCAGATGTTATTATTGTGTCATAGTCTAAAAAGGTAGAGATATCCAAGTCCATATAAAACAAAAGGGGCTACAGATCATTCACGAGGAGCTACAGACCATTTGACAAATTAAGGATATAATGAACTAAGGATCTGATCTAAAATAATAATAAAAAATATATCCAATCAATAAAAAGAACATGACCTGCTCATTTTTAAGAAACTAAACTCCAAAAATTTCCAGCAATTTAATAGAATCATTTCCACTTGATATTAAGCATTCAACTAAGTGTGATTAAAATTATTGACTCGATAATATCTAACAAATCACAAGTGGATTGTTTAACCCAAGGGATTCAGCTCAGATCCCCCCTAAAAGTTACAAAATATCAACTCTGATTGCCCTAAAAATTCAGATCTAGGGTTTGGAGCGAAGTCCAAACGCAAAACAACACGCAGGTAAGTAAAAACGAAAAAAAAAAATTAGGTAAACAGCTCAAGGATATAAGATCTCAGAACTGCTTTCATCCTTAAAGATGAAAACCCTAGGAATTGAGATCTATGCTTCTAACAACAAGATTTAACACCATTACAAACACAAACACAAGATCAAAACAACAAAACGTAATAAATTCTTCCACTAAATTCAAATTAGGGCAAATGAAAGAAATGAACTAATCGGGAAAAAAATCAAAAGGTTTTCGCGAAACTACTGGATTTCTAGAAAAAATTCAAGAAAAAAATCTCAAGAATGATCATTCATGCAACCGATCGTTCATGAAACACTGAAACTACTCGATTTCTTGAATAAAAAAATAAAAATCTAATCTCAAGAATGATCATTCATGCAACCGATCATTCATGAAACACTGAAACTACTCGATTTCTTGAATAAAGAAAAAAAAAATCTAAAGAATGATCAAGGGTTCCAACAGCACAGCAAACAGCAAGAAGAACGCAAACACGAGATCAATACACCAAAAATCCACAAAATCCTACATCTCCTTCAAAATAGAGGGAAATCAGAGGAAAATCATTCATCTAACTCGTCGATTCCTTGATTAAAGCAGAGCGATCTAAACCTAGGGCTCACAATGAGAGAGAGAGAGAGGGAGGGAGAGAGATTGAGATTTGGTACCATCGCCGTCTTTGTCGAAGAGGCTGAAGGCCTCCTTGAACTCAGAGATCTGCTCCTCGGTTAGCTTTTCCGCCATTGCTCGAGCTTCTTCAACACGATTCGCTCCTTGTGAAATAATGAGGAAAATAGCGGTCGCCGCAGTTTTATAGGCTTTTTGCTTCTGTGGGCCAGGACTTTAGAGACACGTGGCGCGATCCGGTGAGCTTGTGTTGATCTGGCGGCTATTAACTTGACAGTTATTTCTCAGCTGTTTCGCCGTTGACGTGTTTAAAAAAAATAAGAGAAAATTACCTCCAACCCCCAAATTTTAAAAATCGGTGTGACCCAGCCCTCCTATTTTTACCTATGTGTTGCACCCCTCAATTTTTAAAAAATTTATACCCAGCCCCTCCAGCTCACCTCTCCCCAAGTTTCAATGTATTTTATATCAAAATCCCAATTTTACCCTCAACAACCTTCCTTTTTCTTCTTTTTCTCCTCCTCCACTCTTCATTTGCCCCCTCCATCAACTCCCTCCTCCTCTACTCCTCCTCCTCTCCGATCCTGTGGCGACGTCGACTCCCTCTCCCGCGTCGAGATCTACCGCTTGTTGGGGTTTTTCTAATGGCCGACGACAACATTGCTGACGACTTCGTTGTCGTTCTCAGCTACGGACATCAACGACGACATCGACGACGAAGACGCCTCCCTAGCAATGAAGCCGCCAACTCCCTAACCCACTCCAGATCCAACTCCTATAAGCACACATCAGCCCCTTCCCCTATCCAAGCCAAGTTCGGCTAACCTCAGCCCCAACCTCGCTGATTTATCACCGCCACCACAATACACTCCGCCCAAATGCACGCCACATGTTCGACCTAATGACTGAACACCACGTCCAACCCTTGCACCTTCCAATCTTTGAAATGTCATATCAGCCTTCAGCCGACGCTCCGCCTCCAACGTTACACCACTCACATCGTGTTACGAAGCCTCCATACCCCAATGGTGCACCACCTACACTGTAGAGTTTGACGCAAAGGTGGCGACCATCAGGTCGGCGATGGTGAACGAGTTGAATGAGATAGGGGATACGACGCTATTCATTACGGCGGAGAAGGGGTATTTGGATATTGTGGTGGAGTTGTTGAGGTACACGTATGGAGAGAGCTTGGCAAGGAGGAATGGGTTGGGGTTTGATTTGGTTGATCGTCAAAATAATTGGGAGAGGATGTGTTTGTTTTTGTGTGTGTGAGTTTGTTTGTGCCGCAATTGTTGTAGGATTTTGGTGTACGTGTGTGTGTGTGTGTGAATTGTTGAATTTTATCTACTATCCAACTTAGTGGAAAAAAATGACGATGAGGATGAAGTCAAAGGGCAGTAAATAAGGCTTATCGGGTTATTGGGTTTCGGATCTGTGTCGAATGGTATATCGGACTCGGAGATGGCTGACGATCAACAGTAGAGGGTAGGGCCCGCCGCTGGAGCAGGATAGTTGGAGGGATGGGGGGGCAAAGGAAGGAGCGACGACAGTGGAGGCGGATGTGAAACACTTTTGTAACGAACCGATCATCACAACTGAGCAACTTGCAACGAACCAATCGCCGATTAATATGAGTTACGGATGTGAAATACTTTTGTATGTATGAACTAAAATACTTTTGGGTGTATGTAATAGCTAAATACTTTTGTATGTATGTAGTAGCTGTGTATATGAACTGAAGTACTTTTGTAGGGATGTGAACTATAATGCAAATGTGATATAAAATTGATGCACAAATTTGTCCTATTAACTATTGAAATACTTGTATATATCATTAATTGATCGCCACAACCGAGCAACTTGCAACGAACCGATCGCCGATTAATATGAGTTGCGGATGTGAAACACTTTTGTATGTATGAACTGAAATACTTTTGGGTGTATGTAATAGCTAAATACTTTTGTATGTATGTAGTAGCTGTGTATATGAACTGAAGTACTTTTGTAGGGATGTGAACTATAATGCAAATGTGATATAAAATTGATGCACAAATTTATCCTATTAACTATTGAAATATTTATATATGTCATTAACTATTGAAATACTTTTGTTAGCTTGTTAAGTTACTCTGTTTGATTGTTAAGTTACACATGTTAACTTTTCTTGGTAGCTTGTTAAGTTATACATATAACATGTTAACTTCCACAGGTAGATTGTTAAGCTACACAGATAACATGTTAACTGTTTTTTTAACTTGTTAAGTTACACAGATAACATGTTAATTTTTCTTGGTAGCTTGTTAAGTTACACAGATAACATATTAACTTTCACAGTTAGATTGTTAAGTTACACAAATAACTTGTTATCTTTCTTTGTTAACTTGTTATGTTACACAGGTAACATGTTAACTTTCACAGTTATATTGTTAAGCTACACATGTAGGTTGTCTAAAAATCACAATATATAATTGATCCCCATCAAATGCCGATGATGGAGGTTACAATCTGACGACTTCCAGAAGGTTACAATTTGAAGATTTTCACATAGATCAATGAAGGTTATAATCTGACGACCTTCACGATAACCAATGAAAGCTCTAATCAACAGCCTTCACAATCAACATCGCGAGTTACAATTTAACGACTCTCATATTTTTAAGGAGCCAAGATGAAGATTACAAGATGGTGATCTTTGTAACGCTCTAGCAAAAGAGACTACAAATTGACGGTTTCTTCAAATTCAGACGCGGAGCTCACCTATGCGTCCCAGATTCAAAACGCATAGCTCGTGGCCGCGTTCCAAATTCCCAGAACAAAACGCGGAGGTCCTCCATGTGTTTCAACACCAAAACACTGAGGTCCTCCCCGCGTGTCAACATCAAAACGTCGAAGTCAGACCTGAGTTGCAACATCAAAACGCGGGGGTCAGACCTGCGTTTGTTGTGTTTGACTGGTTCGAACAGAACCTATACGGTTTTAAAACTGTATCTTTACTTAATGGGGTTGGTTACATCCTATTATGGAAAGATTTTAGGAGAGATTGCACCCCTTAAACTCTTGAACAGTTCCAAAACTGTTTCCCACGATTTGGGGGCGGTTACACCCTACTTAGGAGTGATTTAAGGGACTGTTACACCCCCTTAATCCCCTATAAATAAGAAGAAACTCAACTGAGTTAAAAATTAGAACTTCTTGGCTCGGATTGACCCTTCGGCTTAGCAGCAACGGGAGAGATCCTTGGGCGAGCTTTTGAGGAGATCGGCATCATCCTTCAATGAAGATCATCTTCAACTTCGACAACAGAGAGCCTTCATCCTTGGCTATAAATCGATTTCGATTAAATCAACTCTGTCATTGAGTTTCAAACTCGTTCAGAGTTATCAGCTCGTCTAGAGTTCTAAAACTTGTTTTGCAAGTTCTCCACAACGTCAAATCGTGAGGAGAAGACTATATTCCAGTGAATCAAGACGTTCGGATCGTCAACGAGAAGCAAACTCAACACGAGCATTCGAGGGAGGCATCTCATCGCCACCGTAAAGAACCCAGAATTAAACAAAGGGGAGAATCCAGATCGTTCTCCTCTCTTTTGTAATCAGGAAATCCAATTGTAATTGAGATTAAAGGAATACAAGTCAATTTTCCTTCATTTCTTTTTACTGTAAATTTTCCACCAAACAACACAGATAACATGTTAACTTTCCTTGGTAGCTTGTCAAGTTACACGATAACATAAGTATATGCCCACCTACAAAAAATGTGAACGTTGAAATTTTATATATGTCAATAACTGTGTATATTTGTTCTATTAACTATTGAAATACTTATTTATATCATTAGCTGTGTATATGAACGTTGAGGATTTACCTGTTAACTATAATATATAGCAAGTTAACCTGATCTTGTATATACTTACGCACAGCAGAATGAGGTTAACTATAATCCATTACATGTTAACTATAGTTGATTTGCTGTTAACTCTTACATGTAATTTGTTAACTATAATAAATATCCTGTTAAACTCTTAATCCATAAGTTAACATGTTAACCATAAGTATATGTCAACCTATAAAGTAGTTATGTAGTTGTATCACATTACACCCCAGATATGGTTAACATGTTAACTATAATTTATGTATAGATTATAGTTTGTATAGATTATAGTTAACAGGTAAATCCTCAACGTTCATAGACACAACTAATGACATAAATAAGTTTTTTAATAGTTCATAGGACAAATATACACAACTATTGACATATATAAATCCTCAATGTTCATATTTTTTGTGGGTGCGCATATACTTATTTTATCTAAGTAGCTTAACAAGCTAATAAATAAAGTTACCATGTTATCTGTGTAACTTAACAAGCTACCAAGGAAAGTTAACATATTATCTGTGTAACTTAACAATCTAACTGCAAAAGTTAACATGTTTGTAGACGTCAAAAATGCTTACAGACATCCAAATATCACTCAAGACAAAGAGAAGGTGATAAACATCAGTATCTAAGTCATGGGAGATCATACAAGCCCAAAGGAAGCAAAAGGATCTGTGAATCAACACAAAACAATGTGAATTCACAGAACAATGCAAACTACAGCGTGTGGGCGCGGCAGTTCATGGTGCCGCGGCTACAGCGCGGCAGCTCATAGTGCCGCGGCTAAGACGCGGCAGTTCATAGTGCCGCGGCTTGGGCGCGGCAATCCATGGTGCCGCGGCTACTATAGGGGATGCTACAGCGGTTACGAAGCAGTTATGTGATGATTATGTGAAGTCTACGTGGCGGCGTATCAGAAATAGAACGTGTGCTGACGTGCGCTGCAGTCCATGCTGCCGCGCCAATAGCCGCTGCAGTCCGGGGTGTCGCGGTCAAAGGGATAGTCATTGATCGGCTATTTCTTCAGTTATCGTCTAAGGAGGCTATAAATACCCCCCTATAGCCATCATTGACAGGGGCTGAGCATTTTCCAGAGAGATTAGAGCAGAGAGCCTTGAGTTTTGGTGAATTAGAGCAAGAGAGAGAGTCTTCCTTCTTCACAAACATCCTCAAGAAGCTTCTAGCGAGTCCTAGAGATCTAAGCTCAGACTTGATCTTTGGAAGAGTGAACATCTTACATCGATAAGATATTCGCTTCAAATTCTTACTTCGATAAACGAAGGAAGA